GATGCGTTAGGCCCCACAGCTCGCGAACCGTTCGTGATCAAGGTTTGCGCTTTTAGGGGTCTGATGCCAACATATGAGCCTATCCTCCTGCCAAACGGCAACCGCCTACCTAATCACACTTCGAAATTACGCCCTGTCAAAAAAGTGGGGCTTTAATTTTGTTAACGAGTGTATAAGAAGGAAAACGACGAAAGAAAAGATGATAAGAAAATATGATAGGGAAGGCCAAACTTGAGCGCAACTGTTCATAAGACTCACAGCAGGGTTCTTATGACAATTAAAATGCATGAAATTTAAAAATTTAAGATTCAAATGTTGTTGATATGTTATGTAAGATTTTAAATTAAGTGACATAAACGGTACATCTGTTCACGAACTGGGGTTAAAAAATTGCACTTGAGAGGTTTAGGTACATACCATATCTACATCCTTTTGCAGAACGAATTCCAAACTGAAGCTCATATCAATGTCCGCCAGCTCAGTGGTGTTGTCAAACTCGACAAAACATGACAGAAATTTATGATAGTACTTCAAAAAAAATGATTGTGAACCCAAAGATACCAAAAGTTCGTCTGATTTGATGAGCTTTGTCACAGCGCTGCATACGAGAGAGTACAGAGTAACTCCATCATTCTCCATTTCTTCCTCCCGATATTTAACTAATTTCGCTCTCTCCCCGAACCGCACCAAAAAGTGTGGCATTATTTAGGACAAGAATTGCAAAGAAAATTAAGAAATTCGATGCTACTTGACTTGACACCATCCACCTCACTATTCCCGCCAACGCGACCCGAACTGTCCGTAACCTCAACCAACTTCGAAGCTGAAAGCGGATCGCGCCAAATCGCGGCATTAGTTCTGGAGTTGACGGGTCAAAGTGAAAAAGTGACCACGGAAGTGTGTTCCAAAACTTCGAAAAGTAGAAATAAAACAAAGAACGGTGGTTCAGAAGGAACGAGGACCGAGGACCGAAACGTATGCCAAGCAGACGAAAACAAACAACAAACATATCTGCAACTTGAAACTTGAAATGAAAAATAATCTGGGTAGTTGGACTTCCAAAGACATTAGTGACGCGTGTTGTGCGCGATATGCATTGTCAATCACTGCGGATCGTTTTTATATAGTTGTTTTGTGTTTAAGTAAGATGGGATCCCAACTTCTCAAGCTCAAGCTCTGTAAATCTTCGAAACAGAACACATTGGTGTTGAGGTTAACGTCACATCCTACCCCGAAAGACCGAAATCAGTGCAAGTGGATACAAAGTTTTCCAGACACTTATGTATTGAAGTGTCCGAAGAAAACTTTTGTGTGACTCTGGCGTCTTCCTAGTGGTCAAGATTGAAAGAATAGTTGGTGGTGTAAGGAGAAGGAGGAGGAAGAAGAGGAGGAAGCAGCTCATGTTCAATATGATGGTCAATCAGAGTTCCACTATTGGGAGAGGATAGCATGCAGAAACAAAAGGTGAGCACATTCATTTGAAAGTCATACGTCACTTGCAAGTCCTGGTGGCGACAACTTGGTCTGAAAATTGTTTGTCAGTCATTCCGGACCGGACAAGCAATTGGTCTGCTTTTACCAAGAAAGTAAAGAGGTCTACAGTAAAAACTGCAAAACTGAACAGCTTGGCAGTTTAAACTGTGAAACTAGATGTTTCTACAGTGTAAACTGCAAAACTAATTGGTTCTACAGTTTAAACTGCGAATTAGTTTCGCAGTTTAAACTGTAGAACCAATTAGTTTCGCAGTTTAAACTGTAGAACTAATTAGTTTCGCAGTTCTAACTGCAAAACTGTTGTTAAAACTGTCATCCTGTTATACAGTTAGAGTTGCAGAGTGGAAAGAGGCGGAGATTCTCTTTCGAATGATACCAATTTTACAATTTCGGCAAAAAAGCGACTTAAGCGGTTATCCAGAGCCTCCCATGCGGTAAGCGGTTGTCGGGCGGGCCAAACGTGGCAAGCGGATGTCCCCAGCCACCGAGGCGGTG